TCTTCTTCTTTAACTCCCCTGTAATAGGTAATTAAGTATTTTTGTGATGAGGAAATCCCTAAACAAAATTAGTTGCCATAAATTGTGACAATTGTTTTGTTTTCTCTTGGAAGAGACAAATTGAAAAATCATGAATGGAATCTAAACAGAAATGTCAGATGAAAGTATTTCCTCTTTTAATAGACTGTTCAAATGCTTTGACCATGAAGTTGTATTATACATATTTTAAATTGTTTATAGTAAGTTGATATTTTTTTAATTTTTAAATTTAATATAGCAAACTTAAAATGAATTTAAACTTAAGAAGCAAGCAAGTGCGTATTTTCCTTTGCTGCTATTTGAAGTAATCAGTACAGCTGCAGATCTCTCTGTGTGTATATCTATCTATATATATATTTTTTATTACTTGGGAGAATGAATTTTAAAATGTCAGTGCTAGTGTCAGTGTTGTCCTAGGATTGCATGTTAGTTCCCCTAAATCTGAGTGTGGGGAGTGAGTCATGGCAAGGGTAGTATGCACTGCCCAGACTGACTCATGGAGCCTTGTGCAAGGAGAGCCAGAGAGGTTCACTATACTGTGACTCCAAAATTGTCTCTATTGCTAATAGATACATATAGTATACAGGGAAAATAGCTTATACATCTAAATATGAATTTAAATTTTAATATTCTATGTGAAAACTTACATTGGGAAATATGCAGACAAATGATTGTATTTGAAATTTTACCCTTATTTTAAAATCCAAAATATTGGGTATGATGCAAGTTATACTATATAGAATATTTATCTGAAATGTGACTTGCTGGGGTATTCTGCTAATGCTATATATAAATATCCAGAAATAGAAAACTTCCCCTCTGAAAGTATAGCCAGATAGACTTTTCATCCATACTGAGGAACTTAGCTTTTTCAACAAGCTTCAGAATCTGGTCTGTAGAATCTAAATGCAGAAATATCCAGAAATCAAACAATAAACTGAAAGTTTAAATATCATGAGTATTAAATAGGCTTTAAAAATATATTTTTAGTCACATTATTTCTGATGTCACTTTGGGTAATTTCTGGTAAAGAAAAACATCTTTTGGCTGCTAGAACTATTTATAGATTTTTAATACGTGTGTGTGTTTGCACACATTATCATTAGTTAATGAAACCTCTAGCTAATTTTAAGAAGGAAAAAATGGACACTCCCAAATTAGATGTGTAAAGCCAGTAGAGTCCACAACACTTGGACTGGAGATACCTTGGAGTCCTGAGAACTAGAATTAGTTCAGCTGCAGAAAACCCACCTTTTGAGTTCACGCCGCTAGTGAATAGCACCAAGCTGAAACATTTCACAGCTTTCAACTCTGGGAAATAATGGAGAGAGTTTAAAAATGTCAAACTTCAGTTCAGTTAGTTTGGGGCTGAACTTGCTTACTTGAAAAATCTGGTGCTAGGCACATATATCTGCCTCTCCTTTGTAAATACCACTCCAATCTTATTCTTTACTATTCAAATCCAAGCTTCACGTTCTATTTGTTCTTCATATTCTTTAAATCATTTGAAAGTTGTCAACTGAGAGAACATTTGAAGGGGAGGCTTTTGGCCTGGTGATAAACATCCCTCCAAACAGGATTCTGGGGTTCTCTTCAGTTTGTGGTTGGTTGTTTTTATTCTCTTTTAAAAACAGCTTTCACTGTCGTTTACTTTCTGTGTAATACAAACAAAATGTAGGAATCATAGTTTATTGATTTCAAATGGCTGACAAAAAAGAATGAGATAAAACCATTCTTTATGGCTTTATGATTCAGACTCATTTGGAAAATTGAATGTAATTTTTACGTCCTCCTTCCACCCCAAGTTTTGTTTCTGCTTTTGGAGAAGGTTATATTTCTCCTGTTTTTAATCCCTAAGGAATATTATTGCAGAGATTTAGTTCTTTTAAAATAAAACCTAAAACATGAAAACAAGGTGGTAAACCTGTTCAAAAGAAAATTTAAATATGAATCATTCTTAGGCTGAGCATGGTAGCTCATGGAGGCCTGTAATCCCAGCACTTTGGGAGTCCGAGGCAGGGAGGACTCCTTGAGTCCAGGAGTTCGAGACCAGCCTGAGCAACACAGAGAGACCCTGTCTTTACAAAAAAAAATTCTTTAATTAGCTTGGTATGGCAGCTCATGCTTGGTGTAATCCCAGCTACACAGGAAGCTGAAGCACTTTGAGCCTGGGAGTCTGAGGCTGCAGTGAGTTGTGATCACGCTACTGCACTCGAGTCTGGATTATAGAGCAAGACCCTGTCTCAAAAAAAAGAAAACAAAATATAAATCCTTTAAAATAACTACATAAACTCTTCTTCAGTTTTCCCTCTGTTAACCGTACATTTTGGAGAATAATGGCCAATCATGTTGGAGAGAAATACCCTTTTGCTACATATTTTCTTACTCTTAGTTTTGTTTGTATGTTCAAATTGTTGACAATAAACCATGTCCTGTGCTGATAATAGCTTGTTTACTATGTCCTGCCATTATGTTCTAAACGGCATACATTTGTATTCCATATCATATTTCAGATACTCTACTTTTTCTTCTTACTGTTAGGTGGACAGATATGCAGCCATTCATCTTCTGATTTTTGTCTTCTTTTCCCTGACTTTCTTGGGGTTTGGATTTTTGTTTCGCTCTAAAACCCTAACACCACTAGCATATTTAATTGTAAGGTTCTCAAGTCTATCGCCCCATTTGTGTATTTAGAGAAATGGCCCCAGAAAACATTGGTTCAACATTTTAGGCAGTAAACACTTATTTTTACTTGATGCTGATAATTACTATGATATTTAAGTACAACCAGCAAGTATTAGCCAGCTCTATATAGAAGTTACGCTTTATTTCTAAATACAGGCTGAGCTCCTGGAATCCAAATGCTCCAAAACCCACAACTTAATGAATACTGACATGATGCTGAAAGGAAATGCTCCTTTGAGCATTCTGGATTTCATATTTGGGATGTTCAACCACTTTGCATTCTTCAAATATTTCAAATTTCAAAAAAACCTGAAATCCAAAACACTTCTGTTCCCACATATTTCTGAGAAGGGATACTCAGCCTGTACTTTGTAAGCGTGTGGTATGAAAATATCTATTTGTTTGATAATGTGCAGTAGCCCAGCTTTACTTTTATTTCTCTCACTAGAAGTTGAAAGCTGCTATTTGGCACTTTATCTCAGAGCAGGAAGAGAAAGAGCGACTGTCTCTTTGAGAGAACCCTTGTCCTTTGTGATAATGTTAGCATGCACTCCCTCTTCCTGTCTGGATACAAGACTAAGCTTTATTTCAAAACAACTCTCTAGCATCTGCATAACAGTGTACCTTAATATCTTTAGTACTTGGTATCTTATCCTCATACTACCTTGCTCCTTTGGCCTCAAAATAAACATATTTGGTAGCCTAATTATTTTGTTTATAAAATTAGCAGTACACATTTTAAGAATTTTAATCTTTGAATACAGAAGTCTGTGCATGTGCTTGTACTCAGATGGTAATAGCCTCTTCTGATAAAGTTACTGTTGCCTTTCCACAGTTCCTGTTCATTTGGATGGCTCTCTCCTTTTTTATTTAGAGATTTTCTTTTCAAATGTAGTACTGTGATAAAACTATTGCAGCAACTGGTAGGTTTTCTGCAAATGAAATTCTCCAGGTTTTGCTTGCTCATACAAGGAAGGGCCTGAAGACCAGAAGTGTGCCTTTAGTTGTGCAGGCAGACTTGGGCCAGGACGTCCTGTAGACTTTAGTGAACCCCCAATGATAGGCAGCTCTGTTCATGAGCCCTCCCATTACACCTTTCATAGCATACAGTCCCCTAAACACAGCTACACCTGCTGGGGGACCCTCCCACCAAAAAAGGGTCAGAACCAAAAGTATTCATTGGCACATAAGGACAACCAATACTTTACCATGCTGGTATTACATTCCAATTCCTGCCCCCTTTGGTATTCAATCTTTAAATAAATAATATTGATACAGACAGCTATAAAAGACTGCCTGTAATTTGGTAAAACCATTTTCAGATCTATTGATGACGGTACAATATAATGTTCAAAATATATAGTAACCATTTTGGCTGGGTACAGTGGCTCACACCTATAATCTCAGCACTCTGGCAGGCCAAGGCAAGTGGATTGCTTGAGCTCAAGAGTTTGAGACCAGCCTGGACAACATGGCAAAACCCCATCTCTACAAAAAAATACAAAAATTAGCTGGGTATGGTGGCACACTTCTGTAGTCCCAGCTACTTGGGGGGCTGAGGTGGGAGGATCCCTTGAGCCTGAAAGGTGAGGCTACAGTGAGCCATATTCATGCCACTGTACTCCAGCCTGGGGGACAGGGCAAGGCCCCATATCTTTAAAAAAAAAAAAAAAAAGTAAACCATTTAAACACATAACAGTTTCAAACTTGGAATACATCTCTTTTCTGGTACTATTTAGAATCTTAACCCATTAAATTGGGAAGAATTTAGGAATCTGGCTCAAACCTATTACCAGGGCCATCAAGGAAGTGCAGCCGAAGGGGGTTGAAGAAGTCATCCATGTAGCCACTGACTTCCAATTCAGTTACTCATGTGGGACAGTTCAGACTTTCCAAGCTGAAGGAATGTCCTAGAATTTGTCACAAGTAACTATATACAGAATACTCTGCCTATAAAGTGAGAGGATCATCTCAATATTATCTTGACATTTTTAAATGGTACTTTACCTCTAAAACGCATGATTTTAATATTATAGTAGGTTTGTAAATGTGTGAACAAAAAATTTAATTTCCAGGTAAAACCAATTAGTCTTTTCAAAGTTACACAAGTTTTCTCTCTCCCTGAAGTAATCTCTTTCTCTCCCCCAGTGAATTCCTACTCATCCATCAAGACTCAGCTTTCGTACTTGTCCTTTTCTGTAACAGTGTGAAGTGATCAGAACTTCCTTTCTAGGCAAAGGGGTATGCTGGAAGTTCAGCAAACTGGGAAAAGGATCTGAGATTATTAGAGCTGGCTTTAATCATTACGTGGATATTCCAGCACTTTATCATTACACAGCATTTTGCGGTTCATCACTCCTTTCTCAGTCTGAGGAAGAGCGTCAGATCCCAGGCTGTGGGTGAGGAGGTGACATCCCCGAGGCTAACTGGAACTGGTTGCAGACAGCTGTTAGCACCCAGAATTTTGGGTTTGGGACCTCCCTCCCAAAGGTATTTCTCTTTCCTCCTGTTCTTAGGACATGGTTATGGAAACCCAGCAGTGCAGCAGCATCAGGAATAGGGATAATGACAATTAATTTAAGAATATGAAATTGGAAGATGATTCCATACTCTTCATCAGTCTTCTTGGGAGGATTCTGAAGAAGTGACCTAAAGATAAGATGAGCCCATCCATGTTGTAAAGTAAAATACCATTGGGATTCAGTTTATTGAAATTTAATAAAAACTTTTTCCAAAGAATGGGAATCCTGGAGTAGCGAGGCAATTAATTATCCAGTTCATCTTAAAAGATGGAATACTTGGAACACCTTAGCCATTGTTCAATGCCAAAATGTTTGGGTTTTTTTCACATCACAACCGTCCTATCTTTTCATCTTCAGTGACTCATTCCTCATGTTTGTAATTAAAGCCATATTTGCCATCATAGTCTGCAGTCACCTGAGCTCATTTTGCTCTGAAGCCAGTGATAGTAAAATGTTTTATTTCTAATATGTCCCTTAACTTGATTCTAATAAAAGCAGCAAGCAGTGGTATTTAATATACAAACTCATCAAATTCCACATAAAATGTTTAGCCACATTTTTAAAAACTCAAGTGCCCTTTACACTAGATACCTTGAAAGTAATAATACACTTTTCTCACCGTGTTGTCATTGTGTTATGCGCTCTTGGAATTTCCCTTTTGTAATTATCTTAAGATCCATTCATAAACCACAGACAAAATCAGTCTTGCTTTATAATCCTATGTAGGTTGACGTACAGAAATAGCATTGCCCCACTGGATCTTTCACTTTATAAAGCAGATGTGGCTCTACTGACTTCGGACTCTTCAGAATGACTTCCCTTCCCTCCCCTCTCCACTCAACTGTCATTGTTGGGTGTGAACATGCTGGAGCGGTGGAGCCAGGACAGCTTTGTTAGAATGTCCAATTCCTCAAGGTGACCACTGATGGAGACAACATGAACTTGGATGTTCTAATGAATAATACTTTTAAATAGTCTCTAGAATAGTTTTCTTCCCTAATCTCCACTCCTTCCAATTCAAGGGTGAATTATAAATGTTTATTTTTCAGGCTGCTTTGTTTAATTTCACTTTTCAGAAACGCAACAATAAGAGTTAAAGTAGTCCTCCTTTTAAGGTAGAAAATGCTGGTATAGATCCAGATGGAGTGGACTACAAAACGTGGAATGATCATTGATTCCTGTTATACTTCTTTTTTCCTGTAGCCTTGGATCCTTAAACTCACCAATAACTGAACCTACTATGGTGATTGCAAACCTGATAGAACCTCACATTTTGAGCAGAAAGAGAGGAGACAGAAAATTGCAGTATGTGCTTGAGGCAGAGGCCAGGAAGGCTGAGATGTAGACCACATCTCACATCTGCATCTTTTGGGCCAGCAGACCTTCAGAAATGATCAGGGAATGGTTAGCATAGAAGCTTGTCTTACAGCTGCTGTGCCTACCCCAACCTTTGCCCCCAGTTATCATTCAGAAAACCCTCTGGCTCCGGGGGTCCTTCTACTGCCTCCATGTAATAGATGTCTGCATGAGTCGGGTAGAAACTCCACCCCTCCAGAGGTGAGGTTCTTAATCCACAGTGAGCTGCAAGTGTTTCCAAGGACAAACCTGAGTCTCAGATCACATTCACATCAGAGGTCCTTGGTCACTCAGTTCACTTTCCAGGATCATGTACGTTCTTTCACTAATGTCACAAGAGATAACAGTAACTTCTGGCATAGTCTTCTGATCTATGCCCATTGTGAGCAAGAGTGACTGACTCAGACAGATACAGGACAGGATATGATTCGATCTTCTAACATCACACTGATTATCAGGAATACAAAGTAAAGGAGGAACATTGTGAAGCCCAGGATCTTGTTCATTCTCCATTTACATGACGCAATTGAAGAGATCACAAACAGGAGCATGAGAAAAAGCAAAACAATTGCACAAAACAAGCCATTGCTGCTGACTGGCACTGGCTGTAATCCATTGATAAGAGAGAAAAGTAACCAAGGAACGGGCAAGCTGCAAGATTGAAGAAACAATGTGAATATTCTTAATGTTTATAATAATCCCATACACTTAAATAGTATTTTACAGTTTACAAAGTATTTTTCCACCAAGAAAAATTAAAATCTATGAAGTAGAGCAGAAATTATTAGCCCCATTTCACAGATAAGGAAACTAAGGTTCAAGGAAATTAAATTACTTGCCCAAGGACTTGCAGCTGATAACTAGAAGAGCTTAGATTAAAACTAAAGTGTTCTGAGTCTGAGCTTTTTTTTAATTTTCTGCATGCTTCATGACTTCAATATGACTCAGATCAGTTGATGTTTGCATTTCTTTTTTTTTTATGCTGGGATTACCAGCACACATTACCACTCCTGGCCCCAATGTGATATGAACTCTTAAATCTCTAAATTTTGATAAGGCCTACATTTCTTTTAATTCTTCAGTGATGACAGCTGCCTTTTTACCTGCCCCTCACCCCAAATACACATATACAAATTCAAATTTAAGGAAACAAATCTACCACCCAAATTCAGGACATGATTAGGGAAGTGAAAATGGCCCCTCTTTCTGACAAGGTAGGGAGAATGGGGAACGAGGATGGGTACAGGAGGATAAGGTATTTGCTTGTTATGCAAAATGCTGTTTAGAGCCTCTGAGCAGGAGTTCATATACAAAAGTGTACCAAGAGGTGTAACTGAGTCATTGCTCCTTCCAACCCCAGCTCCACCGCCCTGAAAGTCAGTGAGCAGAGCATTTGACTGTATTTGGTAATAGAATGGATTGGACTTCGGTTTTTGATTTCACTGTAAATTCCGGTCAGTTTCATTTCAGGCAGCATTTTACCTCTATCATCCCATCTGTCTGTGATGAATGAAGGGAAGATATTTTGTTCCTTTGCAGAAACTAACAATATAAATGCCCTCTTATTCTGTGTATAATGAATAAAGCAGAAAACCAGTGAACAGAACCAATGCAGTGTTTTCCAGTCACACTTAACATGCTTTAGAAAGTAGCATTGCCACTCACCCCACAGTGATATCAAATATGTTACTGCCCACAGAGCTTGACACAGCCATGTCTCCCAGGCCTTTTCGAGCAACAATCACACTGGTGATGAGGTCAGGAATTGATGTGCCTGCTGCGAGGATTGTCAGGCCCATGATCTCTTCAGAGATCCCGATTGTTTCACCAACCTGGTAAACAGTAATGAGAAACCATGGCAACAGTAGGTGGAAAACCCGAGGCACATCAAAGCACTATCCACATCCTACTTTATGCAAACAGAATTCCTTCTAAGGAGCTCAGCCACACCCCCTCAGCCTGAGTGAGGACCCACAGCTGAGATAACTACAGAGACAAGCAAGACTCCTGTTCCTGACCAAAGGGATCATGTTGCTCTTCTTTTCACAATTGGTCTAAAAGTTACCTACAGCAGATCTGCCGCTCACTATCATTCCATCTCTGACACCTCTACTTTCCCGCAAGAACTGCCCTTCCAAAGATCCGTTCATGTCAGCATTTCTATTTCCAGGATTGTGGACACTTGCTGTGTCCCAGGAACTAAGGCTGGAGGTGAAGTATGAGCAAGATGACGTAGACCCTAATCTCAGCCTTTTAGAGAGGAAATCTAGTAAACAAAGATTACAATGCAGTATTCCAGGCAGAACAGAAACACTATGGGCACTCAGAGGAAGACTAATGAAATACCAGAGAGCATGCGAAACAGCTGGTTCTCAGAGTGTGTAGGGTTTCACCAGGTAAGAGGGCTAGGTACATGGCGGGGAAAGCAGGAAATACGACTAAGAAGCCATGGTCAGCTGGAATCAGGCAGGATTCCAAGGCCTTCATGCTGCAGGGTATGACAGAAAAGCCACAACTGAGAAGTACCACGTTCACTGGAATAAAAAGTCTACCTTTAAGCCTTTACAAACAACATAGAAACTGCACAAATTCACCTGATCCTCGAGATTCCCTTTGTACCGGAAATTCATCCTGAAGGACAGTGTCTTTGGGACCTGCTGGTAGAGGATTTCGTTCCTGCTGTTCACTCACCTGGTGAGCCCACCACACCATGAGGTAGGAGAACATGGCTATCCACACGATGGATCCCAGGAAGGTGAGAACAAAAAACTTCCTTGACTCCTGTTTGAAAGTTTGAAAAGGATGGGAAGTAAGTTTAAGAGGCCAAAGGTCTCCGGCCCCTCTGAGCAAGCCCAGGAATCAGTGACCAGGTCTAACGGAAGAGTGATGGAGAGGAACTGGAGACATTTGACCTGAGGGCTCTCTCTCCAGGGAGGACTTTGAGATGGATGGAAAAGGATGGGGGTGAGGGGTACACCTGTGGGGAAGTCCAGCCAGTAGGGTGTGCAGCAGTCACCAGAGGGAAGAGAGCTGTTTCCTTGCCCTAGAACCAGGCCAAACTAGGTATTCGGTTTGGCTTTGGCAACCTCCTCGTACCATTCCTTTCTGGTCTGACCTTTCCTTGCAAATAAGAATGTAGGGTAGAAATAGCAGTGATTTCTCTGGGTTTTGAGAATACTCCCGTGAAATATGGAGGAGGTTTAGTGACATCATTCCCAAATTAAAATCAAGAAACTGAGATAGGAGTCAAAGAGGGACTAGTGTATGCTGCTTGCAGCTATGGAAATAAGGCACATTTGAGGTCTAGGGCCTCCCAAGTCCCATTGGTGTGTCGCCTGGGCACATGATCCCCCTCCAAGGCTTCAGTCCCTTCCCAGATCTCAGTGGTGGACCCCTGCCAAGCTGGTTGTCCCTGGCCTCTTCCTCCCCATTAAGTGTGAGCCCCGGGTGCCTAAAGACCCCACAGCTTCCCTGGGGAAAAAAAAGCCTAAAGTACAGATGGACACACTTAGATGGACACACTTACCGGCCTTCGGACATCAGGGACTGTCAGCCAGAGTGGGAACACGATGGGCAGGAGGAAGAGGTAAATGGCCTGCTTCTGCCTGGTTTCAGGCCAGTCCAGGGACAGCGGCTCTTCATTTTCCTCCTCCTCCTCCTCCTCCTGCTCCTGCTCCTCCTCCTCCTCCTCCTCCTCCTCCTCCTCCTCTTCCTCCTCCTCCTCCTCTTCCTCTTCCTTCTCCTCCTTTTCTTCCTCCTCTTCCTCCTTTTCCTCCTCTTCACTATCCCCTCCATCACTTCCCCCTTCAGCTTCTATATCTTTCTCATCATTTTTGGCTTCACCGTGATTTTCACCTCTGAGTTTCTGGCTTTCAGTTTTGCCTTCATTACCTTTCATTTCACTGTCTTCTGTGCAGATTTCACCCTCACCTTCACCTTCATTGTCTCCTTTCCCTTCTCCTTTTACTTGTGTTTCAGTTTCACCTTCACCCCCTGGTTGAGTTTCACCTCCACTTTTCTCTTCGGTTTCACCTTCACCCCCTGGTTGAGTTTCACCTCCAATTTTCTGTTTGGTTTCACCTTCACTCCCTGGTTGAGTTTCACCTCCTCTTTTCTCTTCGGTTTCACCTTCACTCCCTGGTTGAGTTTCACCTCCACTTTTCTCTTCGGTTTCACCTTCACTCCCTGGTTGAGTTTCACCTCCTCTTTTCTCTTCGGTTTCACCTTCACTCCCTGGTTGAGTTTCACCTCCACTTTTCTCTTCGGTTTCACCTTCACCCCCTGGTTGAGTTTCACCTCCTCTTTTCTCTTTGGTTTCACCTTCACCCCCTGGTTGAGTTTCACCTCCTCTTTTCTCTTCGGTTTCACCTTCACTCCCTGGTTGAGTTTCACCTCCTCTTTTCTCTTCGGTTTCACCTTCACCCCCTGGTTGAGTTTCACCTCCTCTTTTCTCTTTGGTTTCACCTTCACCCCCTGGTTGAGTTTCACCTCCTCTTTTCTCTTTGGTTTCACCTTCACTCCCTGGTTGAGTTTCACCTCCACTTTTCTCTTTGGTTTCACCTTCACCAACAGTTTCACCCTCTTCACCTGTGCTCTCAGCTTCAGCCTCATCTTCCTGCAATCCAAAACCAACAGATTAATGTTTGGTAACTGCTCTGCTTGTTTTCCTTTTGTTACTCCCCCATTTTTTTGTTGCTGTGCTTCTCAGAATGTGTCTGAAAACTTAACTATGAGGAGAAAACTGGTGTGATAATTCAGCAGAATTCCTATGACCATACTCCTACCTAGTGGCTATCCAGCTTTTATTTGATCATATCCAGGGGTGGATCACCTAAAGCAAAGCAGCTTCTTTCATCTTTGACACCTCTGATTCATCTGAAGTCCATATGTATATCAGAGTTCTACCCCCATGTATAGGTTTACTCTTTGATGCCTTACAAAACATCAATATTCCATGAGACAGCTCTCTTCCCTAGGTTAAAGATTCCCAGGTCCTTATGTCATTTCTACATGCTATGGCCTAGAGCCTCCTCCCTATCCTTGTGAACTCATTTTAATTAACTTATATCCCAGGAGGAGAGTATCCAAAACTGAACACAGAACATTGCATGGAGTGAAATAGGACTATCACTCCCTTGTCTTAGATACGATGCTTCCGTTAATGTTGCCTAATACGGCGTGACATCCTTTGGTGGCCACAATGCATTGCTGAGTCTACTAAAACTCCTAAATTGTTTTATTACCTTATATGTATAAAATAAGGATGATAATACCTATTTATTGAGGGTTTTTATATGCCAGGCACCATGGGAAGTACTTAGTACTTTAATAATAATAGCTAGCACTTACTGTGTTTTATGAATCAATTAATTCATGATATAGATAGAATTAAGCCCATTTTATAGATAGAGAGACTAGAGCAAAAGGAATTAAATAACTTGCCCATGGTCCACATAGCTTGTAAGTGATGAAGTTGGGATTTGAATATGGATGGTCCACCAAACTACCCTGCTTTACCAATACCAGGTAAAGGGCCAAATGAGATGTCTGGCCTCCAAACCTGGTAGCCTGAGGAGCCTATTAGAAATACGGATTTTTAGGCCAGGCATGGTGGCTCATGTCTGTAATCCCAGCACTTTGAGAGGCCGAGGGGGACAGATCACAAGGTCAGGAGTTCAAGACCAGCCTGGCCAACATGGTGAAACCCTATCTCTACTAAAAATACAAAAATTAGCTGGACACAGTGGTGGGCACCTGTAATCCTAGCTACTTGGGAGGCTGAGGCAGGAGAATTGCTTGAACCTGGGAGGTGGAGGTTGCAGTGAGCCAAGATTGCACCACTGCACTCCAGCCTGGCTGATGGAGCAAGACTCCATCTCAAAAAAAGAAAAAAAATATATAGATTTTCTAACCCCACCTGGACCAACTGAATTAGAATCTCTAGGGTTGGAAGCCAGGAATCTATATTTTAAAATACTCACAGATGTTCCTAAAACATCCACCTTTAGACCAGTATTTGGGAGCCACTGACTATCTCCACATAACCTAAAAGCCATTGATCGCGGGGTCTGGTCTCAGACATAGATGCCTATGTCTCAACTACTAGGCAGCTGAGGCAGTAGAATCGCTAGAGCCCAGGAGTGCCAGGCCAGCCTGGGCAATAAAGCGAGACCCCATAAACCCATAAAAAATGTAAGAGATAAAATTAAAAGCCATGGATTTGAAGTGTCCTCAGATTAGGCACCCAGCTAATGTATAGCAACATGCTGGTCCATCCCCTGAGCAAATGCCCTGGGCTGCGTGTTCACGGAGTAAATATGTTGTCTGTAACAAATGTCATATATTGGCAACCCCAAAGGATGTTGAGTGATTCTCAATTGTGATGCACATTAAGATCACCTGGAGGCTTTTTAAACCATTGATGCCCAAGAACACACCCAGATATTCTGATTTAACTGGTTGAGAGTGGGGCCTGGTCTTTTTTTTTTAACTTCCCCAGATTATTCTAATATGCAACCAGGGTTGAGAACTCCCCAATGAAAAAGTCAAATAGTACTGGTGAGGCCTGCGGTTTGAACTGGGAATGAGGATTCCTATCAGGTGGAGAATGCTTCCCAGAGGAGATGACAAGTCATTGAAACCTGTAAGTGTGGGAGTGTAGGCCCATGTAAACCCTCTTCTCTGAAGACCATCACTCCTCGTAGCCCCAGCTGAGCAGGTAGCGTCCCCTTCCCACATTGGAGTCAAGTCAGCCAGCCATAGCCAGTTAGTTGCAGTCTGGGTCCTTGACCCAGGAGCTGGGTTAAACTGATTCTCTCTCTCTCTCTTTTTTTTGAGATGCAGTCTTGCTCTGTTGCCCAGGCTGGAGTGCGGTGGCATGATCTCGGCTCACTGCAACCTCCGCCTCCCGGGTTCAAGCGATTCTCCTGCCTAAGCCTCCGAAGTAGCTGGGATGACAGACACGTGCCACCACACCTGGCTAATTTTTGTATTTTTAGTAGTGACAGGGTTTTGCCATGTTGGCCAGGCTGGTCTCGAACTCCTGACCTCAAGTGATCTGTCCGCCTCAGCCTCCCAAAGTGCTGGGATTACAGGCGTGAGCCACCGTGCCCGGCCTGATTGTCTCTCTTTTAATTCTGGAAACCAGTCACTGATTTCCCCTGTGGACTGCAGGACTGGGGTAGTGTTTTGGGGTTATATGCGCTCATAAGGAAACAAATGAAGGCAGCCTGACAAGAGAGGCCCGTGATAGAGCCTCTACCCAGAGAAGGGATGTGAGGGAGAGCGGGACATGGAATGAGAAGCCACAAGGGTCACATATGCCTTCTCAGGCCTAGGTCCAGCTCTTCATGAGATCAAGCTTCACTTCTCGCCCTGGGATTCCAAGGGATACCTCTGTATCCTCTTAATCCCATTTACTTGAGCTAGTGGTAATAGGCCTATTCATGTTACCATGAAGCTTAGATTCTGAACCCAAAGTTGCTGGGTAGAATTAAGTGCTTCTGGGTATTGAATAGAGAGGAAAAAAGAGATGGAACTTGCAAATGGAATGTTTTTTACTGTCAGTCACTCAATATATATTGAGCACAACTGTGCACCAGGCATTCTGCTTCCCTCTGTAGGGGAGACAGGGATGACTCAGACTTCAATCTTGCCTTCAGGAACCTCACCACCTAGTAGGCTCAGGATACAAGAAAGGCAGTTGGCAAAAGCCCTGAGATAAGTGCAGAGTGCCAGGGGCATTTAGACTTGGAGCAGATCAAGACAGCTACATGACAAAGACGTTTATACTGGCCAGAGGCCAGGGAGAAGGGTGACGGCACGTGACAAGATGAGGATATATGAAAATGGAGGAGAAAAGGCATTCTAGGGAGAGGAGCCTCAGAAGTTTCGAAGGCCTTCACCCAGCAACCCTCCCACCTGCATTTCAAGCTTCCCATGTGAGCCAAAGCTGGGAGGTAGAAAAACATGGAGGCAAGAAATCTAGTTTGGCCGGAACATGGTGGAAGAAGAGACCATGGAGCTGTAAAGACAGAGCAGTGTCAGGACTTAGAAAGCTCTGCAGACAAGGCTGGGATGCCTGACCAGGTGCAGTAGGCAATGAGGAGCCTCAGAAGGTTCAAAGGCCTTCACCCAGCAACCCTCCTACCTGCATTTCAAGCTTCCCAGTGTTCTTGAGCTACCTGGTCTCACTGTCACCTAGTTGCTGACAGAGACCCACTAACAATTATTCCTTATGCTCTTATAGCATGTGACAGTTCACAATACATTGTCAATATATGAGTTCACTGATACTAAGATGTTCCAGTGAGTTAATTGGCTCCATGAGATATTGGTATTTTTGAAATGATCTTCAGAGAAAGAGTAATGTTTACTCCCAGAGGACTGAACCTCAAATAGGATTTCAGAGCTTTGGGGAGGATGTATTTTTGGTCAGCAACTCCTTCCCTGGACTTCTCCAATTTCGTCTGTGCAAAGGCTGGGTGCTTACCTGACCACCTGGATTCTTCTTCTGATCTCCCTTGATGTCTAGAGCAGGGGCTGATGTGACCGTGACCACAGGGAGCTTGGCTGGCTCCTCCTCTTTAAAGAATAAAATGGGTTACATCAGAAGGGTGGACAAGGCTCTGAGGGAAGCTGGTAGAGACACTGGCGTAAGTGGCTACAAGGCTATTGGACTTCAGGGTTTCTGAAGGTTTATTTGGGGGAATTTCTTGCTGGTAGGAAAAGAAAGATGATGTGAATTGTTATTGCCCTGACCTATCTGCAGATGAGCTATCACAGATGAGAAGACAGCTGGCAAGTGACCATTCTTGTTCCCCTGTAACTCACAAACATTTCCATCCTGGCCACTGTGGCCAAGGACACTGTCAACAGCTGGGCAGCCAGAACAGAGAGATGGCAAAGCTCCCAGCACTAGGAGTCTGACCCTTTGCCTGATTCCAAAGGCAGCAGCTTTTGAAGCCTTGGAACAGGATTGACAGGAAAGGAACCCTGGAAAGTCTGGAAAGCTAGGTTTAGGTAGGGTTCTTTCACTTCTTGGCTGTGTGGCTTTGGGAAGTGACTTGACCTCTCTGAGCCTCTTGTCTATAGGATGGGAAGAATGACTGCTACTCCACCTCCCTCCAGGGTAGCTGGATGGATCAGGCAGTGTGCCATGCAGAGCCCACATGGCAGTGGCTGTCCCACTTTCTCAGTCCTAGCTGCCACACAAATAGGGACTTCTGTGACACCAGACCCCTGATAGCCTTCCCTCACTGGGTTGCTGGTTTCAGACCCAGTAACTACCAACACTGTCCTTGTACAGAAGAGACAGGAAGAAGAAATAAAATCCAATAGTCTCATTTGGGATGAGATTTAGCAAAAAGAAGTGGAAGTTCAACAATCCTCTAGCCTTCCCTTGCCTACCCCACCTGAGGAAAATGGAGAGAAAGCTGTATGGGGCCACTCTCAGACCAGCAGCCATGTCAGCAAGACAGCACCTGGGAAGGAAGAGTCTGGAGTGGAGTGGCCTTCAGGACAATACCTGACCTCACTCTGACTGGCTCACAAAGATGTGTCTCAGCCCCTGGCCTGGCTGGCTACTGCCTCCAGGCCAAACTCACTACTGACAACAGGGAGAGTGGGGCAGGAGAAAACCCACTGATCCAGCCATCTTCTCACCTTCTGGTTTGCTTTCTGCTTTGGCTTGGGGTTGGGCTCTGGCCTCTTGATTCAAGCTCTCCTCCTCCTTCTCCTTGGCGAGGCGAACTGCAAATGAGAAAGGACACACATCTTACCTGGAATCTCAGGATCGTCCCTGCCACACCCTTTCAGTTAGGACAGTCAGCAGAGCAGCCAGAGCTACCCAGAGGGCAGCTGCAGAATGTGGGAAAAGGCTGCCCTGGGGGTTGTGACCTCTGGATTCTGATCCTACTAGGCCTATTTGGGATGCTTAATTCCCAAAGTTTTGTCTTAACATTCTCTGCATTGCCACTGACTGGCTGTGACCAAAGATAAGTCACTTCCCTTTTCACAGCCTATTTCCTCTCTGGTAAATGACATGGTTAACTCAGGGCCAAGAAATAGGATTTATTTCCTTTACAAGTTCAAGTGATGGCCTGCCTGGGTACTGAATTGAGAAGGACTCTGCCCCAGTCTTTGTAGGAAAGTACCATGATTGATTGGCAATATCTGTGATGAACATGGAATGGAGAAATAATTGCAAGGAGATGTTTTTTGCCACCCTTGGACTATAGTATCTTTGTAGCTTACTTTCTATGAATCTACTAGAAGCTCTGCTATAGCTCCAGGGGACGACTGATGGCCATGTTCATAAACCTTCCATCTCAGTAGGTTTGAGATAGTATGGCTGAGAGCTTGTTGGTGAATAATTTCCCCTTTTCTACTGGGAAATTATTCACCAACAAGCTCTCAGCCATACCCTTTTTGACCCCAGGCACAATAAGAGCCTGAGAAGGGCCTCCTTCAGATTCCTGTGCACGTGCTTTCCTAGAGGCCCACAGAGCAGCATGCACAGAATTGTGCTGCCCTGATTTCCAGGTGAGAAACACAAGGCAGGCAACTCTCTTCCACCATGACTATGTGATGGGAAGCATGCAAGTACTTTACATGTGTAATTTCAAGGTGAGAGGGGAAGAAGGAACAAGGCTCAGATGAAGGAGCCCACAGCTCTGTGGCCTGGGAGGGTGAGGGCAGTGGCACAGTGATAGAACAAAGTGGTGTTGGGCTGGGTGTGGTGGCTCATGCTTGTAATCCCAGCACTTTCGGAGGCTGAGCTGGGCTGATCACGAGGTCAAGAGATCGAGACCATCCTGGCCAATATGGTGAAACCTGTGTCTACTAAAAATACAAAAATTAGCTGGACATGGTGGTGTGTATCTGTAGTCACAGCTACTTGGAGGGCTAAGGCAGGAGAATCACCTGAACCTGGGAGGTAGAGGTTGCAGTGAGCTGAGATCGTGCCACTGCACTACAGGCTGGTGACAGAGCAAGACTCCGTCTCAAAACAAAAACAAAAAGAAAACCAAAGTGTCATGGGATCTATGGGATCTATTCTGAAATTAGGCTGGCTCTGCCCCCTAAGCACTGGGTGACTTTGGGAAGCCTGCATGCCCTCCCTAAGCCTCAGCATCCTCTCTCTAAAAAGGCAATACCACAATATCCTCAGGACACTGATGTGATGAGGGTTCACGAGACAAAATAAATAAAAACACCTTCACTGCTGCAAATTCTGGCCTCACTCATGTTGTCACTTTAGCACGGATTCTGGAGCCTGATGACCTGAGTTTGAATATCAGTTCTGCCACTTGCACTATAGCTGTGGACCTAACTGGGTGATTCCTTATGCTCTCTGTATTTCAGATTCTTCATCTATAAAATCTTCCAGAGTTGGTGACAGAGCAAGTGAATTTATACATGAATATGCTCAAAACAGTGCCTGCCATCTGGAAAGCACTATATAACTCTCAGCTGTAACCACACAACAATCATGACAACAAAGTGACAGTAGCTGGGAGCAGCTGTCCTGCCTGGGAAGCAACACACAGTGATGGTGCCCAGCATTCCAGAGGGCCCAAGTTAGAAGGAACCCTGGAGATCATCTAGTTCGTAGTACAGATGAACCGAGAGGAAACAGAGAAGCTGGAAAGGGCAATCTGGGAAGCTGGGTGGATCAAAGCCTCTGCCTGGCTGCAGGATAGGCAGAAAACAGATAAATGGGTCTGGAATTTCCTCCTCTCCACCTGTCTCCTCTGAACTCTCAGAGATAGTTCGGTTGCAGCTGGTTCTGGCAATAAGCTCCATGGGTAGAGCCGCCACTATGACACGTGTGGTCCCTCGAAGTGGCCTGCTGCGCCCGGGTCCTCATCAGAACTGAGAGGTCAGGGGCCAACACACCATTGCCTCCTTCATCCAGACAACCCCAGTGCCCACTTGGCACTAATCAAGCCTTGAAGACTTCTGTTGAGCAACGTGCAGCTGCTGTCACAGGAGGACTCCCTTGGTTCTGGTCTCGGCACTGAGTATCTGCTGACTGTTGGCTAGAAGGGCTAGCAAAAAACAAGCTTCCACTTTTCCTTCTCATCCCTCTCACAGCCTAGCCTCTCACTTCCCAAGTTACTGAGGAAAGCAGGTCAGCTGCAGGGTCTCCCTTACCCTGTCTCACACATATCCAAGTGAAATCACCACAAGAGGCATGGGACCCTGGAGAGGAAAAGCCCCTTCATAGAAAGGTGAGAGTTTAGACCCCAGGAAACATCCTTTCCATGGATCAGCTCTGTGGAAAGAGCTGAACATCTGGAAAAAGTGGAAACATCTGGACGGCCGTCTGGAAACAGCATATGTAAACACAAATGTGCATCTAGAGTCTGGGGAATAAAGGCCCTCATCACAGCCCTGCACGGTCCTTGCCCCTCCCGCACATAGTTTCGGGGTGTAAAATCCGGCTGGGCTGTTGAGCACGACTGAATCCCAGAGGATCTGCAGTCATGCACCGTGAGAGCCATTCCCTGCCCCAAAGACACCCAGAGACAATGTACCAGCATGCTCGTCCTCCCTGGGATGATTGCTGCTGGTTCCCAGGCGCTTGTTTCCTCACATGCTTCTCCCCTCTCAGCATGGCGGATCATCGCTTTAACATCAATCTCCTCTGACCTCAGCCTGGCCTGAACATCACGTAATCCTGTTAGGACAAGTAGGCCAGCTAGAGGCTGTTGGTCGTGGAAGTGGCCCAGCTGGGGGCCCTCTAGTCCCATCCAAGAGAAGGTCTTTATCGTCAGGACTTCGCTAGAGTCAGTGATTCCTCTGGGAGTGGCCACTCATGACCCAGAGATATAGCTTTCCTCACAGGGCTGAGGCCAGAGCCCCCCCCAGCACTCATCACCAGAGGCTGCCAGGGGCTGCAGCTTACATTCTGCAAACCCCAGAGGTACCATCTTTCTGGGGCTGACATTTGTGGGAGGCCTCTCTCACAATGTCTGCTGAGGCTTACCTTCAGGAATTTCTTTTTATTTGTTCTTTTTTTCCCCCTCTCTTTTTTTCCTAACAGCTCCATTAGCAGCTTAGGTTAACTTTTTTCTCCCTTTCTCTCTCCCTCTGTTCTTACCTTGACGAATTCCTAAGGAAGGTTTCATCACTGGTCTTTGATGTAGCTTTTCACAGTATGTTTTTTTTTTAAATTTTTTTGAGATGGAGTCTCACTCTGTCACCTTGGCTGGAGTGCAGTGGCATGAACTCAGCTCACTGCAATCTCTACCTCCTAGGTTCAAGCGATTCTCCTGTCTCAGCCTCCCGAGTAGCTGGGATTACAGGCACCCGCCGCCGCGCCTGGCTAATTTTTTTGTATTTTAGTAGAGACAGGGTTTCACTGTGTTGCTCAGGCTGGTCTCGAACTCCTGAGCTCAGGCAATCCACCCAACTTGGCCTCCTAAAATGCTAGGATTATAGGTGTGAGCCACTGCGACCAGACGGTTTTTTTTTTTTTTTTTTTTTTAAAAAACAACTGACAACCCAAAATTGTCTCTGAAAAGGACTTCAGAGTCTAAAGAAAATTCTGAGCCCCCAAAATTTGTCCTTGGGCCAGAAAGGTCAGTCAGAGTGCTCCCTGGGACTCAATGGATCATTCTGTGGTATCATACTCAGCTTGGCCCTTAGCCCTCCTGCCCAACTGCAGTCCAAGCCCTTGGCTTTTGTCCAAAGGCAAGCCTTTCCTTGATGGGTCTCCTGGCTGGGCTCTGGTTCTGCACCAGAGCCCCAGAGACAGGGGGGCTCAAGGAGAGTAGGAAAGTAACTGAGAGGTGCTCTTCAGGGGTCTGAGATCCATTGCACAACTATTTTGGGAAGAGAAGCAGAAGGCAGGATTTGGTAAGGTGGATAGTGAGAATCTCAGCCGCTGCCACCATTTGTCAAATTGGACAACAGCCCTCTGCTGTACTTTGGGCCCTGCTCTTACCCTCATCACCCCTAGAAGGCTCCTGGCAGTTTTCAGGGTGTCCTTCAGGATTCCTGACTGGAGGAGGAGTTAACAGCTTTCCTAGGACTCCAGAGTTGAATATAAAGCAAAAGGAAGTGCCACTAAGGACTTCTGGGCTTTGGGACCTTAGAAGCCATGTCCCCAGAAGCAGCCCAGGCCAGTCAGCCTGGGCCAACCTGCCTGGCTAGACACTCTCCATGGAACACTGGGGCTGACTCCTGGGCAGTGGGCTTTGCAGGGCAGCCCCAATCCAACCCTGTGCAGAGCACATGGTACTCACAGCCTAACTGCAGGTTAACACCTTCATTTTACAGGAAGGGACAGAGGCAGGGAAGTAGTGGGATGTGGATACTCAAGGACCTTCGCGTTCAAGTTCCTTGTTGCCCTCTCTTGGTGACACCCCTGTCCTGGTCTCTACCCTCTTCCCCAGACTGTCTGACTTTTACTACCCACTCTTTCCTCTGCTTGTTCTCTCTTCCTGCTCCCTCCCCACTGCCTCTTGGATTTTCAGGTCCCAGTTCTTCTCCAGCTACAGGAGGGAAGGAGTGGATGGGACAGATATGGGGGTCTGGGGAGGCCTTGCTTACCTTCCCTCAGGGGGTCCAGGCTGTGGAGCATGAGCTGGTAGATGGTGCTGCGGATGGTGCTGTTGTGCAGAGAGGTCGAGCTGCTCCCTCGGGTCAGCAAGGATGGGAGCTGAGCAAGAGGAGACCCTCAGTGGGCCCCTGTCCAAGACAGGGGAGGAACCACACAAGGGCATCACTAACCTTGCCTCTTTCCCATAAAGATCAGGGAGAAAGCACAGATGCTTTATCCTGACCTCCCCTCTTCCTCCACCTCCAACCAGGAGAACTACACTGCTTTCTTTCTCAGCCTCCTCTCAGCTCCTCCAGGACTATTTTGTTCTATGTACTGAATAATTTCCCAAGGTCTCCACAGGGAGCAGACCCGGTGTATTAAGGATACCATATTACCAAGGGTTTGCACATCCCTGCAAGTACACCCTCAGGAACACTCCCTCAACCACACACCACACAGACAGTGCCACCGCACATGGCTACAGCCCTTTACAGTCCACAAAGAGCATTATCATGTTTTATCATTGCCCCACTCCCAGAGATAAGAAAATGAAAACTCAAAGAAGCTAGGAGACTTAGCCAAGGTCATGAGGGAAGTAAATGAAACAGAGTAGTATCCAGGTGTTCTGATTCCCACATCGGTTTTTTGTTTTGTTTTTGTTTGTTTTTTCCCTATGTGCTTGGAGACCTTCACGGGTACACACATACACACATACATACATCTATACTGTACAGACACAGATGTGACACTTATTCATAATGACACACATAGAAATATCATCTGACTTACAATAGAACATCCAAAGACAACACTTCCACACTTGCTGAGTCCTCCCTCCCTCCCTCCCTCCTCCTCTTCTTTCTCACTCCTTTCTTCCTCCTCTTTCCTCTGGATCTGAAGTCTTCTGCCATCTAGTGGCTGTGGTGACACAGTACTTCACCACAAGTCTAGAGATTTTCTTTGGATGGAGGAGGCTCTTTAGGTTAGGTTTGGAACTGCTTTCAAAGTTCCCCATAATTCTTTCCAGATACTTCATAGGCTATAAACAGCTAAGACCCTGAGACTCCTGCCCCTTCCAGTGACTCTGCTTTCTTTCTGTTAGTTCTGGAGCATCCCAAAGCCAGAGGTAATTTGGCTTATATCAACCATACAGTGTTGGGCTGTACACTAGGACTTGAGTTAATCTAGTCCAAACAGTCATTTTACAGATGCAGAATCTGAAGCCCAAGGTCACACAGCAAGCTAATGGCAGAGTGGGCTGTAACGTTCCAGACTTAGGTCCCAAACCTGCATCTCCTCAAAGGCCATCTGGAGGTGAGTTTCTCAGCAAAGGAGCCCTCTCCTTCCTTGCCTCACCCTGGCAGTGTTCCCAGGAGCTTCCTAGGCCTGAGCACAGCCAGGATCCCCAGCTCAGGGCCACAGTACTCTGGGCCTGTGACTATCCGCTGAGACCCTGCAGTGTCCCCACTGGTCAGACTCCATACGGCACCCACCTTCAGTTTGTTGTTATCCTGTAGCTCATCCACTGCAACGGCCCCATCGCCTGGCTGCAAACAGGGAGGAGTCATGAGATGTTGTGGTGAGACCCTCACTCTCTCCCTACATCCCTCTCTTCAGGGAAGTCCTCAGGTTGAAATACAGAAACACACTCCGAGATAACCTGGTCTCAGAAAATGTTTCAACATGTCCCGTCCTTCCAGTCTGATCTTCTATAATCTGGCTTCAGCCTGCAATGTGGTACCCTGATCAAATTTGTCCACTCACCACAGTCCAGTGGCACTCTTTGGGTTTCTGAAATGTGCCATCCTCTTCACCCACCTCAAAACCCTCATCACAGGGTTACTCACCCCCCTCCCCACCCCCCTGTCCATAATGCTCTTTCCCTCCTCAGGCTTCAGGTCTCCAATTAAGTGTCAACTTCCTCTGGGAAGCTAAGTATAATTCTCTTTTATAGACCTCTGTTCTTTTCCTTCACAGCACTTACCCCAATTTATTTGTGGAAATAAGTTGACTGCCCCACTAGCATCTTGAAGGTAGACTACTTTATTTACCACTGTGTGGCCAGCATGAGAACACTGCCTAGAACTTAGCAAGGGTTCAATCAATATTTATTAAATGAATGAATAAATGAAAATGAACTGTCCTCTAAATACACTTAATCTATTCTAACTCTTGTTTCCTTGTTCATGCCTTTTCCTTCTGCCTAAAATGCCCTCTCCATTCTTTCTGCCTACTCAAATCTTATCCATTTTCCAAAAAAATTCAGGATGAATTCTTGTACGAAGCTTTCCCAAATGCCCCTTCCATGCCCCCTCCCACCCTCCCTTCAGCTCACTACAATACCTCTCTCCTGGAAAGCTGTCTAACAGTGAGCACATTCTGTGATACTAAAATCAGCTGTGTGCTCAGGTAAGTGCTAGCGTTTTGGGAAAACTATGGGGCAGACAGCTGGGAAGAGGGACAGCCCTAGACAATCCAAGATGAAGAAGCATTAAGCCTGTAGGATTTACCATCTGAACCATTAGCTTGCCACTCACAACCTTGTAAGGCAATTTGAACTTAAAAAAAAAAAGCACTGTTTAACGTTTAAAGCATGTAGAGTCTAGATGTAGCTGGTAGACAATGCATTAATTGTCTACCAGCTACATCTAGACTCTACATGCTTTGTTTTTTTGCCATGCAGTGAACTTACGGTCATCTCTGTTTCCCTTCCTTGTGGCACAGTGTTTACTGAGCACAGTAGGTGCCCAGTAAAGGTAAGCTGAATGAGTAGACACTTCAAGTGACCTTTAGTGCTTTTGTTTTATTATTATTATTATTTTGTTGTTTTGAGACAGAGTATCACTCTGTCACCCTGCCTGAAGTGCAGTGGTGCAATCTTGGCTCACTGCAGCCTCCATCTCCCAGCTTCAAGTGATTCTTCTGCCTCAGCCTCCCAAGCAGCTGGGTTTACAGGTGTGTGCCACCATATCCAGCAAATTTTGTATTTTTAATAGAGATGGGCTTTCACCACGTTGGCCAGGCTGGTCTCGAACTCCTGACCTCGGTTGATCCACCCACCAATCACAAAGTGCTGGGATTACAGGTATGAGCCACTGAGCTCAGCCTTATTATTTTTTGAGACAGAGTCTTGCTCTGTTGCCCAGGCTGGAGTGGAGTAGCACAATCATGACTCATTGCAGCCTTGACCTCCTGTGCTCAAGCGATCTTCCCACCTCAGCCTCCCAAGTAACTGGGACTACAGGCATGTACCACCACACCTGGCTAATTTTTGTATTTTTTGTAGAGCTGGGGTTTCACCATGTTGCCCAAGCTGGTCTCCAACTTCTGTGCTCAAGTGACTCACCCACCTCTGCCTTCCAAAATGCTGGTATTACAGGTGTGAGTGACCAGCTAATTTTGTTTTTTGTTTTTTTTGTATAGACCAGGTTTCTCTATGTTGTCCAGGCTGGTCTTGAACTCCTGGGAGACCAGCAGACCTCCTCCTTCACCCCCACAAAGTGATGGAATCACAGGTGTGAGCCAGCACACCCAGGCTTTGGTGTTATCTTTAAGCAGCAGGATCACAAATGGCTGCCCTCAGCAATTGTCTTTACCTTCTCAGAAAATATAGAAAATAGTGCTTGATCTAGGGCCATTCACCCATCCCTCCAACTTATTCATTCATTCCGTTTTTATTTACTGAGAACCTGCTATACCATTTATATGGTGCTATTCTGGTGGCTTTAGGGATACAAAGATACTTAGGACATGGATTCTGTGTCCAGAAAGAAGTTGAGACCAATGATAACACAGATGCATGACAGAGAAGAAGGTGGTTCCTGAAATAAAAGCCACAGATAGGTGCTGTGCTGGGATGGTCAAGGAAGCTTTCTGAAGTAGGTAGAATTTGAGTAAGCTTTGAAGGATTGGGGGAAGTTTGAACGCTTGAATACATATTGCTAAATTAATGAATGAACATAAAAATGAATGAAACAGAGCATTAAAAATCTGCATATGAAGGGGGCACTGTGCATTTTAACAAATCCCCCCAACTCTTTCATAGCACATGACCCCATTGGCCCAGCCATCTCACTATTTCTCACATCCAACTCTCACCCAAAGAGTTTTATTTTTTTAAGATGGAGTCTCGCTCTGTTGCCCAGGCTGGAGTGCAGTGGCGTGATCTTGGCTCACTGCACCCTCCGAATCTCAGGTTCAACTGATTCTCCTGCCTCAGCCTCCCAAGTAGCTGGGACTACAGGTGTGCACCACCATGCCCAGCTAATTTTTGTATTTTTAGTAGAGATGGGGTTTCACCATGTTGGTCAGGCTGGTCTCAAACTCCTGATCTCAGGTGATCCACCCACCTCAGCCTCCCAAAATGCTGGGATTACAGGAGTGAGCCACTGCACCCAGCTGTGAAATTAATTTTAATAATACACTTTATTTAACCCAGACTAAACCTTTGAAACTGGTATGTATGTTAAACTCATAGCACATCTCAAATTGGACTAGCCACATTTCCAGGGCTCAACAACTCTATGCAGCTGGTGGCTGCAGTCTCTTCTCACTCTCTCATTTCTCTGGTTTTTGCACATGTCTATGAGATGCCCTACCCCTTGTATAGTCAGTGAATTCCTGCTTGTCCTTCAAGATTCAGCTAAGGCTCCCCTCCCCTAGGAAGCCTTCCCTGACCCTCTGGTCTGTTGAGATGTCTGGTCTCTGCAGTACTAAATCCCTCTGCATTTACCTATACCATTACACATGATAGTGGAACTACTGCTTTACTTATCTCTCTTCCCCACTGAGAAGGATTTACCATGGAGATGATGAAGCTTAAGCTTCAGGGCTCATCACTCTCCTACACAAATCCCATCCAAGGCTTGCACCTAATTTTGTAGCAACAGTTTTATATTCTTTTTCTTAATGAGTATCAGGCTCCACAAAACCTAGATCAGCTCCACCTCCTCCATTAGGCTAAGCTATTGAGAGCTGAAACTGTGCTTTATCTTTCACCAGATGCCAGGCCTATCACAGGCTTCATATGAAGATGTTCAATAAATGTTTGCTGAATGAATGTTGGAGTTCTTGAGGGATTACTCCCAGACTATCTGTCTTTCAGAGTAGCATCAGCCAGTCCTTGATTTTAATTACCATACATTCATTGGTGATTCACAATTTTCCGTTTCCAGCCCAGACTTTGTTTCTGGGCTTCAGACTCATTTGTGCCACTGCCTCCCAGATATACCTACTTAGAAGTGATCTAAGCACCCAAACTCACTATTCCAAAGTGGGAACTCTTGAGTCTCCCTAAACCTATTCTTCTTTCTCAGTGGATGGTACTACCATCCACGCTGCTGCTCAATCCAAAAAGTTCTGCAGCATCCTTGACTTTCCTGATTCTCTCACCCTCCATATCCACTTCACACCAAGTCCAGATGATTCTGTCTTAAAACATTCATAAATACACATATATATAAACAGCCCACAACAGCCTCCTAACTGGATTCCCTGCTCCAATCTTGCACACCTACAATTCATTCTCTACTTAGCGGCTACTCATTACTTCATTCGCCCATTGAGCTTAAAATAAAATCCAAACTCTGTGTCTGATGCATATGGCCCTGCATGGAGTATCAGGTTGGTGCACAAGTAATCACGGTTTTTGCCATTTAAAAGCAAAAGTAGCCAGACGCAGTGGCTCATGCCTGTAATCCCAGCCCTTTGGGAGACTGAGGTGGGTGGATCACCTGAGATAAGGAGTTTGAGACCAGCCTGGCCAACATGGTGAAACCCTGTCTCTCCTAAAAATACAAAAAAATAGCTGGGTATGGTGGTGGGCACCTGTAATATCAGCTACTCAGGAGGCTGCGGCAGGAGAATCGCTTGAACCCAGGAGGCAGAGGTTGCAGTGAGCTGAGATCATGCCATTGCACTCCAGCCTGGGCAACAAGAACAAAACTCTGTCTTGCCGGGCACGGTGGCTCACGCCTGTAATCCTAACACTTTGGGAGGCTGAAGCGGGTGAATCACTTGAGGTCAGGGGTTTGAGACCAGCCTGGCCAACATGGAGAAACCCTGTCTCTACTAAAAATACAAAAAGTAGCTGGGCATGGTGGAGGGTGCCTGTAATCAGAGCTACTTGGGAGGCTGAGGCAGGAGAATCACTTGAACCCAGGAGGCAGAGGTTGCAGTGAGCTGAAATTGTGCCACTATACTTCAGCCTGAGCAACAGAATAAGACTCTGTGTCAAAAAAAAAAAAATGGGCATTTTTCCTTTTTAGATGAAAATTGCCAGGTAATAAAAAGAAGAGCAAAACTCCGTCTTTAAAAAAAAAAAAAGGGCAAAAACTGTAATTACTTTTATACCAACCTAATAGCTCCCACCCTCTTCTCCAGTGGTATTCTGTACCCCTCTCCCTATTATTCACTAACCACACTGGCCTCCATTCTTTCCTCTAATATGCCAAGCTCTCTTTCCCACTCTGAGCTTTTGCAAATGCTGTTCCATCTTCCAGGAATTCTTGTCACGGACCATGGGGTGGTTTCCTTTCCCATTCTGCAG